ATTCAAACCACTGATACTCTTTCAGTGCAGATCTTCAAGAAAAATAAATGGCCCATAACCAGCACTCAAATTGTGCCGAAGGTTGATACATGAATTCAAAAGTAGAAATTATTTTGCTTTAATTAGAAACCTTATTGCAAAGTCTTGGGAGGAGGGGAGAGATGGAGCTTATCATTTGATTGAAGCCAGATCTGTTTCCAGCATTCATATAGGGAACTCATAACAATAAATAGTTACCATAAACAATTTTTAACTTACATATGCTGGGAAGAGGCATTTAAAATCAACGAAAAAAAATGGTATACTGTTTTAGCCCCCTTTTTCTGAATTGGCACCCACCTTCCCGGGTGGGAGCTTGTTCCAATGTGGTGTCTAGATCAAGGTCAGCAATGAAAATTTTAGCCCCTAGGTTAAGGCCAGCACAAAGGTACAACACATCGTCACGTTCAGTCAGGTTGCTCTTCCTCCCTTCTGAATGCAACACCTCTGACACTGTACATTCATCCCGTCTTTCCCCAAGTGAACAAAAGTCCCACAAATAAATGAATTTGAAAATAAAATCCGACTGGATTAAACAGAGTTCATTCAACAGCTTTACTTGTAATGCATTAAGAAGTACAAAGGACCTATAAAAGCCCACATGCTTCACAAATGTGTGCATGCCATCCTTGTGCGCTGACCTTGAGAATCTTTTGTGGCTCTTTCTAATTGTTAGTATAGTGCTTCGGAAGCACACACACAAACATGACTTACTCTTTATTGCAGTGAACTTCAGAGCATGGTGACACAATGGTTTTAATTAGTTAAAACACTTCCTGAGTTTTCAGTGGGCAGGAGAAGGCAGCACTGCCCAACTGCATTCAACCACAGCCCTCCTCTCTGTGCGTCCCCCTCACAAAGCTTTTTCCTGAAATGATTTGTAAACCCATCTGTAACTTCACAGGGGTGTGGCTTGTATTTCAAACAAAACGGACATAGGCCTGGGACAGCAACGGGGTTCAGTGACTGGAGCATTGGAGGCAAATGCACTTGGGATTCACTTCTCAAGTGTGGAACTTACAGGAAAGATTTGAGGTAACTAGAAAAAAATCTCTCTAAGGCTTGGTTTTTTCATTGATGGAAGAGTTGATGCTGATGTGAATCTCATAGGGTTGTGATAATGAATAAGGTCATATGTGTAAAACTCCTTGCGTAGAATTCTGGTTACAGTTCATTGAGTGACTACAAGGTGATCTGATTAGATCAATGAGTTAGACAAAGACATTAGGCGGCAGGTTGTTCTTTATGAAGTTTTGCTCCTTTTATCCAAAGTTTTCTTTTTTTGATAACATTTATGATTATTTTTGAATCAAAAAAAATTTTGTTAGTATAAAACTCCTTAAAGTGGGATGTGTCTCATTGGCTTTGTTATAGATCTGGCCATTAGTGGTTAATACATGTTTATTACATTTACTTGAAAGTTTCTGTGTCAAAGTGAACTTGGCTGGCTGTACCTAATCCAACAAACTGTTCTGTCAGTTATTAGGTGACAGAAAACATGAGTACATTTTTAAAAAATAACATACAGTCGATTCTCATTATTTGTGGTGTAGTTATATTCTATGATTTCACTGCAAACACTGAATTAGCAAATACTGGACCGTTAGTTCTAGAGGAAATACAGGGTTAAGTTTCTATGAGCCTCTGTTCATAACATTTCCATCATCAGATCAGTGCATAACCTTGTTTCATGTATGTTTCTGTTAAAGGGTCTTATGTAATACACATCGTTGATTCCTTAACATTGGACTCATGGCCAACAGCTCTGATAGCCCTGCCCAAACAAAGCTTATCTATCCATTACATGTTTTCTCCACAAGTCCATCACAGCCTCTGTACTTATGAGCGCTGGACTTCACCCTTTGGGGGCTATTTTAAATAGTGAAATCTCCAACAAAAAGCAAAAATGAAAAAAGCCTGTCACTAAACGGACTCTTAAAGGACATTTGTTTACTCTCTGGAAGCTGACGTAGAAGGCGTCGCCTTGACCTGTGACAGCTGGGCACGTGCACCGTGGGTGACTCGGATCCTCAAATGACTGTGACAGCACTGCCAATGTTGATTATGAAGTTACAAGTACAGTTTAGGGGGTAGGTGACTTTGCAGATACGGATCCTGCAAAAAGTGCGGGTCACCTGTATTCTGTTTTGTCCCTTTAAATGTGCCGGTATACAGTGCATTTTCTGTTTTCCAGGGACGAAGCTGCATTCCCCCATCCGCGGACCATCGCTGCAGCTGTCCGTGGGGGTGTCTGTCACTGGGGAGCCTCTGGTGTTTGTAACAGGACGGAGGCTGGAGCTCAGGCAGCCCCCACCCCGCTCCCCATTTGTGGCGGTGGTGGCCCTGCTTCTCGGTGGGCATTTACTTTCCTCCCTGCCCTGTATGAGCTCACCCTGGCCGCAGTATCAGATTGTTTCTCTGGGATCCCATGATTTAGAAGCTCTTGCCCCCAACAGCCTAAACAATTTGTTGTTTCTTTTTTCAGTTGTTATTATTGGGGGAGGGGGATCGCGAAAGAGGACCTAGCCCCCGACGTGGGTGTGAGGGAGCCGGGGGGCCAAGGGCCGCTGCTCAGGAAGGAAAGGATGGGAGCAGCAATTCACCACCAGCCCAGCCTGTGGCGGGGGATGGGGGGCTGCGGGGGCAGGGATGTCGTGTTTGAAGGTTGAAGCCAGATGCCAGGGTTGGCTTGAGTTTTACACACTTAAACACAGCACAGCCCTGTTGCAGTTTTTTCTTCTTAGAGCTCTTTTCCGCTGGCAGTTTTGAGAGGTTGATACTTGGAGGCCTACTGCAGCACTTTGAGCTTTGACGCACAGACTGTAAGCTCGTGACTGTGGCTCCCATTGCCGAAGATGAGTAATAGCGAATAGTCGTTGAGGACATAATACTGCTGGGCGCTGTTCCAGTCACTTTCCCGGTATTATTAGCTCATTTAATCTGTCCTTTCCACCCCAAGAACCCTCCCAGGTAAGCACTATTATTCTACCCACTTGGCAGATGAGGAAACTGAGGCAGAGAGTGGTCAAGGAGGATGTAAGCCCCCAGTTACGTAGCTAGTAGGTGGGGCGGGGCACCAGCTCAAACAGGCAGCCTGTGCCCTCAGCCCCACACAGAGCTACGGAATTACAGTGAAGTGTCTTTGGTTAACACCTCTGGTTTTTAGGATCCAGAAGTCAAGAGCCGTGCATAGGCGTCATGCATGAGCTCCTGGAGGAGCCCTGCATCCCATGCCTCGGGGGATGAGAGATCTGCCTGACAGGCCTCTGTCCTCGTGGAGCTGCAGTCTTGGGAAGAGTGGAAATGGGCAAGAAATAGGCAGAAAACATCCGAGGTGCTCGGTGGATTCAGGTGCAGGAAAGAGCACTGGTCGGAGCAAGGAGGTGGGGCAGATGTTGGATAGTCAGAGATAAATAGGAAAGGTGTCTTTAAAGATAGCATTGAGATGGGTGTAGAAAAGTGGTCCTTGAAATTAGTCTACACCTTCTCGACCATCTGCAGCCAGCGTTAGTCGGGACCTTAGCCACAGCCATGGGATTAGAAACACATCTTCTCCTGGGCAGGAGGTTCTATCCCACCTGCAGGCCCTTATTCCTACCTGCTTTCCCCTCATGGGGACCCGGAAGTGTGAGTGAGGTCGACTGACCGGTGAAGGAGTGGGTTCCAGATGTTTCACTGCAAATGTGGGCAGTGCAGTCAGCTTGGGCCTGTGCACAAACTCCTGGCCTTGACGCACAGGGGGTGCAGGGCCTCCCGGTGGCCCAGCCACTGGGGTGGGTGGGCCTTGATGCTTTCACCTTCCCATAATTAAAAGGGGAAAGGTCAGCATGGAACATTTGGTAGGGAAAACAGTTTGGGATAGTCTTTGAGTTTAGGCTTGCATTTACGTTCTTTGAGTCTCTCCTAGCTTTTTGGTTTTGTTGTTTAAAGCAACGTGATTCAAGCCATTGAGTCTGCCTTGAATCTTTACAGCCCCTGAGAAAAGTTACAGTGCTGGCCTGACAGGCATTCATGGGCCCAGCCCCTGGAAGCATGGGTTGTGTGTGGGTCGGAGGTCCTGGGTTGGACCAGGGCACTGCCCCACCCGACATCCTGGGACCCCTTGGGAGCTCTCAGCTGGGACGTGATACCCTCTTTGTGAGAAGGGGGAATGTAAGTACCACTTCATCAGACTCTGCAAAGTAGTAGCCGACTTTGTTCTAGAGTCAGGCTGTTTTCCTTCCCCATAAGCCCCATCTCTGCTGCCCACTTCCACCCTCCAAGAGAGAAAAAGCCCAGTTCTTTGCTCTGCAGAAAAAAACGGAAGATGTTGTAATACAGTCGTAACAGATCCCATGGCTCTTTAAGGTTGTGAGTTTACAGGCAATTGGTGTTATCGTTCTGGTGTGATTTATCTTCAGCCTCTCTATTCCGCTGCGGGGGGAAAGAGAGTCTTAATAACCTGTCGTGCAAAAATTTGGCAGTGCCAGAGAAATAATCCTTTACTCTGTGTTTTTCTTCACTGACCTCTGCTGCTGACGTAAATGAGTAACGTATTCAAGTATCCATTCTTTAACATGGAAATGTTACTGTTCATTTGATTTTCTCTCCCCCTTTTGTCTTCATGTGAGAATAAAGCTAGTTAAAAATAACTGTGATAATTCTCTATATAGCAGTTCTCCAGCATCTGCCAAGAAATATACAGATCCTGTGATGGGTGGATCCACCCTACTTTGGGCTCTGGGGAAGAAGCGAGGTGCCAGCATTAATACAGGAAGGGTCCTTTGTATTGTGTTTCACTTACTTTCAGGGTAGCTTACTGACCTCTCAAGACTTTCCCTGCTTATGTATTCATTTTATCATTTAGTGTTAAGTTCTGTTATTCTTTTATGTATAGGTAGGAGGCTCTGGTTCCATGCCGTGGCATAGGATGTATAGGATGCTTTCCTCTGCAAGAAATTGAAAGCCCAAATCAAACTGGCTTTAGCAGTAAAGGGAATTTATTGGCTTCTGTTGCTGAAAAATCCAAAGGCAGATGGCTTTCAGGCTAGGGTTGATCCAGCCATTTCACAGTGTTACCACAAACCTGGTTCCTTTTCTTCTACTGGCTCTGCCTCTGCAATGGTTGGCTTTAAACCAAGAGTGGACCTCCCCCTGGTCCCACGATGGCTGGAAGCAGTGACTGGGGTCATGTAGTTAAGTGTTCACATCCAGAAGAGAGAAGAGTCTCAGAAAAGGTCTTTGTCTCTGCATTCTCCAAAAGGTCTTACTTAGGTCATGTGCCTGTCACTGGAGCCAGGAAGATACAGTACACTGATTGGCTTAGCCTAGGTCACAAGATACATATCTGTAGGTGGGGTGTGGAGTCAGCTTCCTCAGAAGTGCAGGATCCCTAGAAAGGAGAGAGGGAGGTGATGCTGGAGAAGCCACCAACAAATATCAAGTGTATATGGCTAATCAATCCCTGAGGTGTGAACAAAATACATAGCTTTTTTTTTTTATTCTGGATGTTTAAATTGATAAATATTGGTGCTAGAAATAGGTCACTGAAGGCAGGGCTCTATGTATTTTTCTCAGTTCGCTCATCTTGATCCCTTGTTTTCCCTGGACATACAGGAGAAAGGCTTGTCAGAAGGAGGTCAGGTTGGGGAGCTCCTTCCTGCTATCCCAGAGTCTGAAATGGGAGGGAGGAAGGAAGCACAGAAATGGAGGCATCATTCCCCATTCAATAAAATATTCTTCAAGACAAGATTATCTGTATTGCTTGCAACATTATTCTTAAAGAAACAGGTTTAATGAAATGGAAACGTACTTAAGAAATAACCCTGCTTGATTTGTTTATTTCCCACACCACAGACTTTCCTACTCACCATTCCGTGGCCCCTCCTTGCTCGTACCATGCCACATCCTTGCCACATCCGTGCTCAAATCCTGGGTTTTGTAGGGAGCAATAAAGAAATGTGTAAATGACCTGTAACCTCTTATCCTTTGTCTGCAGTGGGCAGTTTGCAGTCGTGAAGAAATGCCGGGAGAAAAGCACTGGTCTACAGTATGCCGCCAAGTTTATCAAGAAAAGGAGGACGAAATCCAGCCGGCGGGGCGTGAGCCGCGAGGACATCGAGCGGGAGGTCAGCATACTGAAGGAGATCCAGCACCCCAACGTCATCACCCTACATGAGGTTTATGAGAACAAGACAGATGTCATCCTGATCTTAGAACTGTGAGTGCGGTCTGCGTGGCTGTGGCGGGGCCGGGGAGGCACAGGGTCAGGGGGTCAGGACCGTTGAGGTCCGCCCACGGCTGCCCTGCGGCGGGACAGGAATGAACTCTGCTTTGCCAAATCCGAGAACAACCGCGTGCTGCCTGCCCCGAGACCCGTCTGAGGTTCTCTAGAATGATGCTGAAGAGCGGCTTCCACGAATGTAGTGCCACCTGATTTGCAAGAGGGTCCCCAAATCTTGGGGGTTCCTCTTCCATTGTCATGACGTCATCTGATTCCTGAGCTGTCTGATCAACTTTAAGCTTATGTTCTTTTTCTCCTCTCGCTGTTCCTCTACTTCCCTCGGTTTTTCTACTTTTCTTCCTCCTCCCTCCATCTTAGCACCCCCACCTCCATTCTCAGCTGTTGGAACTGTCAACTCTAATTACATGAGAGGGTAAAATTGAACGAGCATCACTCAGAGGTGATTATAGGACTTGTTTTTAAAGCCATTCACTTATTTTCTTGGGCAGGCCCTGCCTGTCGGATGTGGTTATGGGCAACGGACTGTAGTGTGTTGTTCTGTGATGTGTCTCTCTGTCCCCAGGCCCCTGTCTGAGCGTCCCACCCCTCTCAAAGAAGCCGGCTGGCGGGGAGGAGAGGAAGCTCCACAGGAGCACCTGGCTGGGGATGCCTCTGGGCTGTGGGGATGGAGGGGAGGCATCAGGGCCTTGAGGGCAGGAACCACGGGTGGAGCAGAAGAAGCCAGGGTGACACACCAGTCCTGGGTGGTTCTTAAGCATTGATAGGCCTTTCTGGTTTCCTGGGGCCTCCGGAATTCAGATCTGCTCTTCTGCCAGCCAAACAGCTCCCCGTGTTTGCAGATCTCTTAGGGTTAGGAGGTGATTTTTGAGACCAGATGGGATGGAAGGAAGTGAAGGGGGCTTTATGGAGGGCCCAGCCTAGCCCCAGGGGCCCCACACTGCAGGCACTCTGGGCTTTGCCCTCACAGGGGCCTGAGGGTGCCCACAGCTTCTTGTCTGTCACTGGGATGTGGGTACTTTTTTTATGGGTCTGAGCAGCAACTTGCTTAATTATAAATTGGGGTTATGATAGCTACCCCCACAGGGTCTTGAGGAAATAAGTGACTTGAGAATTGGACGATACCTAGCACAGTGTCTGATTCGTGGACATCTTTCCTTCCTCCCTTTAAACCAGAAGGTTCTCAGCCTCTGCCCTACAGACATTGGGGGATGGATAATTCTTTGTTCAGGGACCATCCTGTGCCTTGTGTGATATTTAGCAGCATCTCTGGCTTCTACCCATAGATGCGGGTGGCACCCTTCCCACGGGCTGTGACAACTAAAACTGTCTCCAGACAAGGCCACGTGTCCTCTGGGGGCAGAACACCCCCTTCTCCCCATTGAGAACCCCTGCTTTCAGGAAGAGCTGGGCTTTAAGAGCACAGGGGATTAAGGGGCTTGCTGGGGTACAGCCAAGGAAAGAGACATGTCACAGTGTAATCCTTGCTTTATGTGGCGACTCGTGAACCAGACAGAACCGAGATCAAAATCCAGGCCAATCCTTTACTGTCCATAAGCCTGCATTTCCTGTCTTAAGGCTGTTTTAAGAGGCTACGAATACAAAATTCCTGGGGAAGAAATGTTACAGATCACAGCTGTTTTGCCTTTTCAGAGAATTATTAGGTTGTGCCCAGTGACTCAGGAATGTTGCTTATCCTCTTTATACCCGAGCTGTAGGGTGATGCTGTGCCTGCCGGCCCTTCTGGCTCCCCCTGGCCTGGGCATGTCCTGGACTCAGCTGCTGATGCCTGACCCCGTACCATAGACATTTCCCCTTAGGTCCATTTATCCTGTGCATCAGTTGGGTGACACACAACTATTTTTTTTTAACCACTTGATTTTTACAATTTTTTAAAATATCATATAGTTAATCTGATGCTGGAGGAGGGGTGTGCAAGTCTTAGGACGTTAACACACGTTTAAATCAGGATTCAGAATAGTCCCATCCCCTGCCCCCCAGCTCCCTTGTCTCATTCCTTTATAGTCACACACACCTTCCACCCCCTACCTCCTTGCAACCGCTAAGTTCTTCTGTCTTCTCAAAAATGTCCTATAAATAGAATGATACAATATTCAGCTTTTTTTGAGACTGGCTTCTTTCACTCAGCATATTACTTTCGAGATTCATACACGTGTGTTTCGCTCCTTTTTATTGCTGAGTGGGATTCTGCTACATGGATGCGTGTTTGTCCACTTACCCCTTGAAGGACATTTGGGTTGTTTCTAGTATTTGGTGATCATGAATAAAGCTGCTATAAACATTCACTTACAGGCTTTTGTTCGATCTCGAGTTTTCATTTCTTTTTTTTTTTAAGATTTACTTATTTATTTGAGAGAGAGAGAGCAAGAGCAGGGAGGGAGAGGGAGAGAGAATCTGAAACAGAGTCCCCGCCAAGTGCAGAGTCCGACACGGGGCTCGATCCCACAACCCTGAGATCATGACCTGAGCCAAAACCCAAGAGTCAGAGGCTGAGCCAACTGAGCCACCCAGGCGCCGCAAGTTTTCATTTATTTTGGATGAATACCCATGAGTGTGTAACTGCACGTGTAATTTTATGAGAAACTGCTGAGCAGTTTCCTGAAGTGGCCGCACAGGATAGCAGTCCCTCCAGCAAAGGCTGGGAGGTCCAGGTGCCCCACCAGCACTTGGAAGTGTCGGTATTTGACAGGGTCAGCGCTAGAACTGTAGCCGTTCTAGGAGATGCAGGCACGTCGTGGTGACCTTGATTAAAGGTTGAGGGAGCCCACCGAGAACGGCCTTTAGATGGAAGGAACAGGAGAGGCCCGAGAAGACGTCCCTTCCCCATGGGGTCAGCTGCATCTTTCTCCTCCCTGAGTATTTGCCCTTCACAGCTTCCAGCACCCCTTGAGCTGATTGTCCCTGTCTTGTTACCCACTGGGCACGTGGGGAGTTGTGATGGTGACGTTTATGTGTCAATGGGGCTGTCCAGACGTTCGATCCAACATTATTCCAGGTTGTGCCTCTGAGGGTGTTTCTGAATGAGATTAACGTTTGAATCAGTAGACTGAATAAAACAGATCACCTTCCCCAGGGTGGGTGGGCCTCATCCAATCAGTTGAGGGCCCCAGTAGAATAAAAGGGAACGTTACCCCTAATAAGAGGGATTTCCTCTTAACTAGATGGCCTTGGAGTCTAGGGCACTGGCTTTTTCCTGCCTTAGGACTGCATTGAACCATCAGCTCTCCTGGGTCTCTAGCCAGGTTCAGCCCACTCACCCTGCAGACCTGGATACTTGTCAGCCTCTGTGATTATATAAGCCAGTTCCTTAGAATGAATCCCTGCTCTCTCCACATATGTACACGTACCTCCTCTTGGTTCTGTTTCTCTGGAGACCCCTGACTGATACAGTCAGAAGGAAAGTATACCCTTGTTTAGACATCACAAGCCTGTCCCATTGGTGTATACTTACTTCGCCATGAAGAGGTGCTTTAATTTTCTTTTATTAACATAATGTATTTTTTGTTTCAGGGGTACAGGTCTGTGATTCATCAGTCTTACACAATTCACAGTGCTCACCATAGCACATACCCTCCCCAGTGTCCATCACTCAGCCCCCCAATCCCTTCCACCCCCTCCCCCCTAGCAACCCTCAGTTTGTTTCCTGAGATTAAGAGTCTCTTATAGTTTTTCTCCCCCTCCGGTTTCGTCTTGTTTCATTTTTCCCTCCCTTCCCCTATGATCCTCTGTCTTGTTTCTCAAATTCCTCATATCAGTGAGATCATATGATACTTGTCTTTCTCTGATTGACTTACTTCGCTTAGCATAATACCCTCTAGTTCCATCCACGTCGTTGCAAATGGCAAGATTTCATTTTTTTTTTGATGGCTGCATAATATTCCATAATAGCCAAACTATGGGAAGAACCTAGATGTCCATCAACAGATGCATGGATAAAGAAGATGTGGTATATGTATACAGAGGTGTTTTAATTTTTAATAGACAATTGAAAATATTGGGTCTGCCTGGGAGAGATAGTCATCTTCGTCTTGGAAGAAATTATTTTTCTAAGTTCTGTTAGCTTTAAGGGAAGATTAGCCATCAGTGACACATTCCATCTCTTCTTTTCTTTCTTAAGAATGCTGAGGCAGGGACGCCTGCGAGGCTCAGTGGGTCAAGTGTCTGTCTTCAGCTCAGGTCATGATCCCAGGGTCCTGGGATCGAGTCCCACATAGGGCTCCCTGTTCAGCAGGGAGCTTGCTTCTCTCTCTGCCTGCCGCTCCCCCTCGTGCTCTCTCTCTCTCTGATAAATAAATAAATAAATCTTTTTTTTAAGAAAAGAATGCTGAGGCATAGTGGTGGTTCAGGAGAGAATCAAATGTATGAATTTGTGAGAAAATAACCCTATGATGGTATAGTGGCCACTTGTCTGAATCCCTGGGTTCAGTAATCTTTCAGTGGATATACTTGTCTGATTTATTGCTTTGGGATGAACTCCCTGGTAAGTAGAGCTTCCTTCAGGCTTTCTGATGAAACGTGTTCCCCTCCTCGAAAATTTGTGCCTGACTCCCACTTATATGTGTGAGCTGTCACCGACAGACTCCAGGCCCATCCATACAGCTGAGGTGAAGACACCCCAAGCCACCACTCTCTTCCCTTTTTCACCAACTGCCTCCCATGACCTGGGCGGGCTACGGAAATGGCCTCTTTTCTGTCCTTTGAAGAAACTACCTGGTGTCTGTGTCAAAGGCACAGTTGTCAAATCCT